GAAAAGAGTTCTGTGATATCTGTAATCTCTCAGTCTCAACTGGTCAGACATCTTGTCAGACATTCTGATTTCAGCAGGATAAAAACAGACAATACCTCTTGTTTAGTGTTCTGAGGATTTCTAAATTCTATTCCTGTGTTATAAACGATGAAAAGATCAAACTTACTTTGCCTAGCTCATTACCCTTGCTCCTCCATTTTGAAACATCCTCCTAAAGTGGTTGTGTGAAGAGGATGAGGGAATCTCTCTTATCTCTACAATCCAGAAGATGCTATAGCTCTCAGAAGACCAGCTGATTCTGGAATGTCTCTTTTTTTTTTTTTCCCCAGAAATACTTGGTAATTCTTGTCCTGGTGATAATTTTTGAAGGATCCACTAGTGTTTCCACTACTAAATCCGGAAAATTACTATTTTAATTATACAATTAGAGAAATGTTTCTGGTCAAGCCAGGCCCTGTGAGGAGTAACACATAGGGCTTTGCCCGGTCCATTCCTGGTTATATTTCAGGTCAGTATTTGGGTACCAGCTCCACCGGAAGGACTTCCTGTGACCTTGGTCCTGGTGAGATTTCCTTTCTATATGCTCCCTGAGTTGCACTCTGTCACTTATCTCCCTACATTCTAACCTTGTGTGCACTTATTTCTCTTTTGCTCTTGCCTGAAAGATCCTCTTGCTCATAATTGTATTCCCACTCCTGGGCATAGTACCTGGAATGTAATAGATATCTAGTATATATGTACATATGTATGTATATATGTACTCGTCTTATCTATCTTAGTGAACAAATTTCCAGGATCCTTGGCTAAATCCTACAGATTTTTAAAATTATTATTTTCTAAATGAGTTACTTTTTATTAAGAAAACAATTGTTTTCCTTGTCCAAGGGTCAACCCTAGCTCACAAGCTGCCTGATTTGTTATATCACTTTATTGTCCTTTGATCTGGAACAATTTCTCTGTCTTTTTTTTTTTTTTTTTTTTTGGTACCGGGGATTGAACTCAGAAGCACTTGAACACTGAGCCACATCCAGCCCTATTTTATATTTTATTTAGAGACAGGGTCTCACTGAGTAGCTTAGCACCTTGGCTTTTTTTGCTGAGGTTGGCTTTGAACTCATGATTCTCCTGCTTCTTTCTGCCTGCTGAGCCACTTGGATTACATGTATTCCATGGCGTCCGGCCTGTTTTCCTTTGTCTTTAGTGACATTTTTGAAGGGTTTAAGTGTGTTATTTTGTAGAATGTCCCTTAAGTTTTATTTGATGCTTCCTCATTAATTATACATGTGCATTTTTAGCAGAACCCCCTATATAGAAGTGATGCATCTTTCTGAGTGCATATCATGGTGTCCATCTCATTACTGGTAGTTTTATTTATAGCCACTTGAATAAGTCAACTTGCATGTCTTTTAAACTTCATTGTATCTCCTGTGTATCACAGTTAATTAATTTTATCTTTCTTATTTATTTAAAGACTATCCTGTTTTCAAATATTTTAAAAGATTCTTCTATATCCCTTTTGAGACCACCAAGTTTTTGGTTTACATATATCTTTCTGTCCTTTAAACTTTTCTAGTTTTACATAGATATGTTTTTACTTTTAAATATATAGTTTATTATGCATTTTGGGAAGTTCTATATAACTATTTTTAAATGCTTCCCAGATTTTTTCCCCTGGCAACTTATTTCTTGTTCTGTATTCTATTTTTCATCATTAAACTCTCATTCTTGTCATTATTTTTCAGAAATTAATACTGCTCTGAGAGAGAGAAGTTTCATTTGCAAGGAAGTTGGTGTGGGTGTTTGCCTCCCCTCAGTGCAGTACCAAAATTAACTGTTTCCTCCTTATGTGGAGGCGGAATCAGATTTCTTCTTACCCCTCAATTTCTACTCTTCTTATATTCAAACTCTACCTAAAGTTATTTAGCAGCAAAGTTGAACTAAAAACAATATTTCTGACCCTCAAATTTAGAGGTTTTCTATTCAATGCTTCCATCACGTAAAATGGCCATGTTAGTCTCTTGAATAAAACAGGGAAGCCTGATAGCAGAGATATTGGATGCCTCAGGTCACATTTCCTACCCACACCCATCCCCCATTTCAGCTCCAGCTGTAGTGACAATTCTGGGTGAGGTCAGATGTATTCTGACTGTATCCTACCACAGGAGCAAACCTTCAGACTCTGCCTTTGTACACCTGCTTAAGGAAGCCCTCTCTGTTCTGTGCACAAGTGTAGTCCAGGGGTGTAGGAGTTAACACTCTGGGGAAATCCTCAACCAATACAGCATGAGGGTGAGTGGTAGGCAATGCCCCAGCCTCAAGATGAACAATCCAAGGTGGAATTTGTGTTTCCAGAGGTGCTCAGAGAATAAATCGTGCCCTTTTATATTGACTTTTTATTGACTTTTCCTTTTTTTCACTCTCTCTAACCGATCAATTCTGTACCCTGGAGGTATTTCCCAAATAAACTACCTGTATCTACATCTTTATCCCTACATTCTAAACTTGTTTGCACTTATTTCTCTTTTGCTCTTTCCTGAAAGATCCATCTTGCTCATAATTGTATTCCCACTCCTGGGCATAGTACCTGGAATGTAATAGATATTTAGTATATATGTACATATATATCTAGTATATATGTACATGTATCTAGTATATATGTACATATATCCAGTATAAATGTCCCCATCTCAAACAAAGCCAGAGATTCAGCAAACATTTTGTAAATGACTATGTTAGATAGAGAGATAAAAGTCCTAGGAGATAAAATCCTTATTGCCTGATGAGGAGACAAACTAGTATAATTAAGAAAAAAACAATACAATAACAATATATTGTACAATATATTGGTAGCTGCAAGAAAAAGTGATGCGTGAAGATTTGGGGGAGGGATCACCTATGGCATACTTGGGGTGGGGCTTCCCTGCCAGACGTATAGCTTGAGTGAATTGATGAGCGTAAATTGCATAAAGCTATAATGACTGCATCATACAATAGTTAACTGAAAATTAAATTAATAGTTTTGTATGCTATGTGTAAGTTATGGGCTGCCAGGTTGTGGTTTGCAATATGTGACATGATTTTATTTTATTGGTTGTTCAAAACATTACAAAGCTCATGACATATCATCTTTCATACATTTGATTCAAGTGGGTTATGGACTCCCATTTTTACCCCAAATACAAATTGCAGAATCACATCGGTTACACATTCACATTTTTACATAATGCCATGTTAGTGACTGTTGTATTATGCTACCTTTCCTATCCCCTACTATCCCCTCTCCCCTCCCCTCCCATCTTCCCTCTCTACCTCATCTGCTGTTGTTCAGTTCTCTCCCTTGTTTCCCCCCCCCCTTTCCCCTCACAACCTCTTATATGTAATTTACATTGAGGGTCTCCTTCCATTTCCATACAATTTCCCTTCTCTCTCCCTTTCCCTCCCACCACTCGTCTCTGTTTAATGTTAATCTTTTCCTCATACTCTTCCTCCCTGCTCTGTTCTTAGTTGCTCTCCTTATATCAAAGAAGACATTTGGCATTTGTTTTTAAGGATTGGCTAGCTTCACTTAGCATAATCTGCTCTAATGCCATCCATTTCCCTGCATATTCCATGATTTTGTGTGACATGATTTTAAATGTTATAGGATGGGCATTTAAACTTTTTTTTTAAAATAGTTATGGATGTTAATGCACTAGAATAAAAATAGAGTGCTTTATAAACTTGATTTTTATGGTTTAGGATGAGGCTAAAATTTTTAAATGTGTTAAAATTGGCTTTAAAGAAAAATATTGAATAATTGATAATTCCTGGGTGCAGATTGGCAGAGATTGGGAAATAGTTATAGCAAGGTTCTCTAAAATATAATTCCTGCCTTCTGGGAACACAACATTTTTAAAGGCAAACAGATCCATAAACAAGTATGATAAATGTTACCATGGATTTAGAAGTCAAGTACAGTGGGGAGACAGAACAGAGGTAAAGCTCAGACCAGTTGGAAGGCTACTGCTTTAGTTCAAGGGAGAGGTAATAGCACGGATTAGGGAGAAATGGAAGGAAAGACAAGTAATGTAATAGGCTCATTGCACTCATCCTGTGAAAACCCTACTGGTTGCAATAAGCAGGAAGGTGAAACCGGTCCATTGAGTCAAGAGCAGTGTTGCACATAAGCGCGCGCGCCCAACCTCACATGAAGGAGTAGGAGATGTGAATTAATCGGAAAATATAATTAAGGACGTACTTTTGTTTGACTTCAGTTATCGGGAGTGTTCCAGTATGAACAATTCAGATATTTGACCCATTTTCCCCCAACTTGACATACAGGCTTCAGAAATACTAACATGTATATTGTGTAATGCTTTCTAAGATTCCAGACATGTTCTAAGTGCTTCAGGTTTATTAGTTCCTCTATTCTTATAAAATTGATTTTACAGAGGAGGAACCGAAACCTAAGGAGGTTAAGTAACCTGTTCAAGGTAACGGCAAGGCAGCTAGTAAGAGAAATAGCGAGGGTTAAACCCAAGCGTTTTTGCTCCAGAGTGTCTATTCTTAACACTATACCAGAATAAATAGGTCGGGCACTCAACGCTAAAGCAGGTCACAGTTAAGGGCTGGATCGTGAAATAATCACTGTTCTTGGCGGCAGAAACCTTGGTTTTGAGATCACAGTTTCCCTACCTATAAAATGGAGATGATAATGACGCTAAGAGTTCGGTGCAAATGGAGAGATAATGAATGTGAAAGTGAACTTCAAACTATGTAGGCGGGTGGCTCCACATACTAGTTTTCCGGAATATGAATACGTGAACGCATAGAATGCAATTTATCAGTCTGGACAGCTCGCAACGCCAGAGCGAGACTCCGCCCCCGAGGCTCCACCCACCACGAGCGGCAGGTGGGGCCGGCAGATCTTTGCGCATGCGGAATCCGCTGCCCGCGCCCACCTCTGACCCAGGCTGACAGTAGCTGCCGTTTCAGAGAGGACGATTCGTAAGGAGGCTCTTGGAGAGGGTCCCCTTTGTTTGCCCTTCTGCGGGTCCTTCCCATACTTGAGCGGCATCCAGAGAGTGGTCGGTCTCGTCTACCCGCCTGACTTTCTGCAGAGGCTCCTGCCGTTGGCCCAGTAGTTGGCTGTCGAAAGTGCCGGCCCCCGCGCCGGCGCCGGCAGCAGCCGGGTGGGAAGGCTCAAGATGGCGTGCCTGTTGGAGACCCCAATCCGCATGAGCGTCCTCTCGGTGAGTGACCCGCTGCGGCCGCCTTCCTGCCGGGGAGCCCGGGACCCGCCCGCCGTATTCCCCCAAGCGCGGTGCGTCTCCTGGGCACCACCCCCTGCGGTGTCCTCTGGTTGGGGCTTGGGCCGGGAGTGAGGGAGGGTGGACGGCTGATAGACGGGACCCCGGTGGAGACAACTCCGGGAGCTCTCACCAGTGCGGGCTCCCAGCACGGCGTGCGACAGGCGGGGGGATTGGGCTATCGGCAGCCGGCCCAGCGGCGCAGGCTTGGGTTTGGCCAGGCGTTTCACTGAGCCTTCCCGGCGATGCCGCTTCTCCCGGGCCGGGCGCGCTGCCCTGTGGGGCTTGCCGCCGGCCTGGGAACCAGCGCCCACTCAGCTCCCCTGGGCTTTGGCCAGAAGAGGTGCAGGCTCGTTGGCCCCCGCAGCCTCCGAGCCGCCAGGCAGGTCCGTGTGTCTTCCGTGTGTCACCTGGGTACTGGCTGGAGCTTGCCTCTTGGCAATGGGGATTTCATAAATCAGCTGCAACTCGTGTGTGTGTGTGTGTGTACACGTACGTGTGTGGTTATTTAAACCCCCTGTCGGAGCTCTGCTCCGGAGGTCACGGCTCTGTTCCCTGTGGCTGATATTCCTCTTCTCTTTAAGGGGAATGGTTAGATATCCCCATTATTAAAAGGAGGAACATATTGATATGCTAAGAAGCAATACCTATTTTTTTTTTAAGTTAAACGAAAAGTGGACGACAACGTTCATCTTTCTCTGTGTTGTCCTTGAAAAAATGGGACCAACAGAGAAAGTTACTGAGAGATAACTTCTTAGGCTTTACCACCAATCTTACCTGTCTGACTGTCAGAATGGTCAGTTTATCAGTGGTTCATTTGCTGTTGTTGGAAATATGTAGACAAAGAATGACCATCTTTTAAACTCATGGAAGGCAGTCTAATGCTGAGAGGGTAGTTGGATTATAGACGACTTGTCAGGTTCCTGGAGTTGCCATAACTCCAGCTGGTTTCTTTTGCCTGACTTCTCCCAGGAGCAGGCCTACCTAAAAACACGTAGAACATTGCTTGATTCAGAGTTAGAGTTAAGTGGCAGACTGCAGCCTTGAGAGGGCTTAATTTGGCAATACAGTGGTAATTTAATTTTGGAAGGCTGTCAACAAATTTGTCCCTCAATCCATTTTATTAGCTTTTCTTATATTTAAACTACTACTAGAAAAATACTGTTCATTCAAGTATTGGGATTTTTTTTTTTTTTTTTTGTATGAGGGATTGAACTCAGGGGCACTCCACCACTGAGCCACATCCCCAGCCCTATATTGTGTTTTATTTAGAGACAGGGTCTCACTGAGTAGCTTAGTGCCTTGCCATTGCTGCTGGCTTTGGACTCCCGATTCTCCTGCCTCAGCCACTTGAGCCACTATGATTACAGGCCCAGACCACCAGGCCTGGCTACTGAAGTATTGAAGCAGATTAGTACATTAGCCCATTTTGACTGAAATACTTATGTTTTGTGGGAGAGCAGGCCAATGACTTCTTCCTCATTTGTAAAAAAGATTTTATATATGTATTTTTTGACTATCCTCAGTTTTGTCATTTAGATTAGTTATCCTTCAATTCACCTGAAGCTTCTTTACTTTTTGAGTTAGAGTGTATATAGTTGAAAATTTTCATTTGTTTCATTTTCTTATTATTTCAATGAATTTACTTTAAATAATTTATCCAAAGGTCTGATTTCCCAAAGCTTTGGATAATTGATTTAAACTAAGTTCAGTGATTTTACTAATTGAAAGTGAAGCTTCTTCCTTTCAGACTACTATGTATGGCAGCATTTTTTATGTCAATCAGAAATTGAATGGTTGATTCCTTTAAAAAGCTACTTGTTATGTACCAGATTAAGTACAAAGTTGTATATTATGTGCTTTAGGGAAGGCAAGGAGGATATCAGAAATGCTGTCAAGAAGCTGATTATCTGGATTACTCTTGAGTTTGATAAATGCATAAATTGACCAAGGGACAATCAAATCATCTTAAGTGATTTCCATCCAAGACCCATTACACCTTCTTCCTGAGAAACTTCATTATTCTTCCAACTTTAACCCCTCAGTTCACACTTCTACATTGCCGATCTTGACTTTTCTCCTATGTCTGATCTCATATCTTAAATTGTGTGGATGCCCCCATCACTTCCAACAAAGCACATTTCTTCTCCTAAGAGGACTTAGTCACTTCGGTTATTGGTACTGTCTTTCACTGTTGAATCTCCTGAATCATCTTTGACTCTTCCCCTTTTCATTCCTCCCTATCTAATCAGTTGTTAAGCTCTGTTGTTCCTTTATTCTTAGTGTTTCTCACATTTTTCTATTTCCATGGCCACTCTAATTCAGGACCTTATCATTTTGTGCCCTGCACTATCACAGTATCCTTTTAATCCTACAGGGTCATTTTAGTTAAATAATTAATTATTTTGAGATGAAGTTCTTAATATGTTACTGGTCTTAGGTTCATGAGTTCAAGTGAACCATGAACCTTAGACTTCTAAGTAGCTGGGACTGTAGGCATGCTCCACCACAGCTGGCTTTAATTATTTTTATTGCCCCCTTACTTTCTCAGTTCAAGTCCATTTTCACATTAATTCTTCTAAAGAACACATTGGACCACCAATCTCATTTTAGTTCTTTGGTAGGTTCCTGTTGTTGAAAGGCTAGACTTCAAGTTTCTTTATCGTCTACATGAAGCTTTTATTCCATATAAACTGGCCTCTCAGGTTGAAGTTGATAATTAGTTTCTTCCAAATTCCAGTAGCTTATTGTCTGCTCATTTGTACATATGAACTACATCTTTGCATGGATTTATTATCTAATATGTTTTGAGCTTCTGTCATTTGCCAGGCATGGCATTGGGTTTGGAATACATTGATGAGACACATAGACCTATGTCCCTTCAGAGATTTTAGCCCATAGGGGAAAGTGATATCAAATAATCACACAATTGTTCATGACTGGTGATTAATATTATGAATGAAACATATAGGGTGCTGTTCAAACATGTAATACAAGAAACTGATCTAATGTGGCGGGCAATGAGAAGATCTAGGAGAATTTCCCTGAAGAAGTGACACTGAATGAGGGTTCAAGGATGAGTAAGAACTAACTAGAGAAAAAAAAAAAAAAAAAAAAAAGGCAAAACAACATTCCAGGTGAAGGAACACTGCTTTTGTGGAGGTCCTTGTCTTAGAGAGTAAATTCATTCAGAGCTAAGTGCTCAATCTTTTAACCCTATAATTGCTTAAAACACTATGTCTTGCAAATACCAGGTAGTCAGTAAATGGTTGATTGAACTGTTTTGGGAGTTGAACAAACTATCCATCTCTTTTTTAGATAGCATATGGCCACTCTATTCCTCTTTGGTTTGCATTTAGCATTACAACCTCATTCTTGTCAGCAAATTTGCAGATTCCTTCTATGCTTTCCAGACTTTTGGATTGTTTTATGTTGAGTTCATGTTAACAACTTTTTATTTTGGAATAAGTATAAATTCACAGGAAGTTGCAAAGTACAGTGGGGCCCCTGTGTATACTTCACTCAGGTTCTTTCATTGGTTACATCATACATAATTATAGTACAGTGTCAGAACCAGGAAATTGGGATAAGTATGTACATATTTCTGTATCATTTTATCTCAAGAGTATATTCATGTAGCCACCGCTACTAAGATACAGAACTATTCCATTACCACAAGGATCTCCTTCCTTCTACCTCTTTACAGTCATACCTGCCTGACACTCCTCCCATCTCCCTCCCCACCACTGCCCTTAATTTCTGACAACTACTAATCTGTTCTCCATCTCTATAGTTTTTTCGGGGCGGGTAATAGGGATTGAACTCAGAGGCACTTAACCACTGAGACCACTGAGTCACATTCCCATCCTTTTTTATATATGTTTAGAGACAGGGTCTCACTAAGTTGCTTATGTCCTCACTAAATTGCTGAGTTGGTTTTGAATTCACGCTCCTCCTGCCTCAGCCTCCCAAACTGCTGGGATTATAGGGGTGTGCCATGTGCCACTGCCCAGCTCCATCTCTGTAATTTTGTTGTTTTCTATAATGTTATATAAATGGAATCAAACAATATGTAACTTTTTGAAATTGACTTTTGTCACTAAGCATAATGTTTTTGAGATCCATCCTAGTTGCAGGTATCAATAGTTTGTTCCTTGTATCAGGCTGAGTAGCATCCCTTGGTATAGGTGTACCACTGTTTAATTATTCATCTATTGGACATTTTGGTTGTTTCCAGTTTCTGATTATTATAACCTGCTTTGAGCATTCGTGTGTACGTCTTTGTGTAGACGTAACTTGAGGTGTCTGAGATAAATGCCCAGCAGTGCAATTATTACCTTATATGGTAAATGTGTGTTTAGCTTGATGAACTTTCCCAGAGTGGATGTACCATTTTATATTTCTACCAGTAGTGTATGAGAGATTCAGTTTCTCTGCATACTCACTAGCATTTGATATTGTTACTTTTCTACTTTAACTATTTAATAGATGTGCAGTGATATCATGGTCTTAATTTGCATTTATTTCCCTAATGATTTGTAATGTTAAATCTTTTCATTGCATATTTGCTATCCACTTATCCTCTGGTGAAATATTTCTTATTTTGCCAGTTTTCTCACTGTTCTTTTTGACTATTGAATATTGAAAACCCTTTATGTATTTTAGATATGAGCACTTTGTGATATAGGTGTGCTTAAGTATTTTCTCTGGGTCTGCAAATTGTCTTTTCATCCCCTTAATTGTAGTTTAAAAAATGAACCTTGAGGTCAGAGGTGTAGCTTTGCTGTAGAGCAAAACCCTGTATTCAATCCCTAGCACCCTCCAAAAAACAAACAAACAAACAAACTTGATCTCAACTTCATACCTTATTACCAAAAGTAGCTCAAAGTGGATCATAGATTTTATTGTGAAGCATGAAATAAAACTTTTTTAGAGTATAACAG